ACAATCTGAATTAGCTGAATTAATTAGAATTACTAAAGTAATTTTATGGGATGAAGCACTAATGATGAATAGATTTGCATTTGAAGCAGTTGACAAAAGTTTTAAAGATTTAATAGATATTAATGAACCATTTGGAGGCAAAGTTATGGTTCTTGGTGTATAATGTTTTTTGGATTTCATCCTTATATGATCTGCATGGCATATCTGTCGTAAAAATTTTGGATTGAGATTATTGCCTTACCTAACTGCTGTTTTTTAAAATGCTTTGTCACTAACAACAAATGATAGTTTTCTTTAAAATCTTATCATTATAAATTTAATTTAAGCACAAAGAAATATCGATATCATTATATATCAAGATCACGGGTATTTATTAGATCCGTGTACAAGCAAAGACGAAGTTTCCACTAATACCGGATAGACTAGTGGAGAAACCAAAATTCAGCAGATCGACCAATATTTAGGGTCGGAATAGGCCGGAATTGATAATTTCTCTAAAAAATCACCCAAGTAAAGCTGCCCCAGATGATAATTTTGCTACAGTATACAAACGACTCTTGTTATAGTGAAGTCACTATATCGAGAGTCTATTAGTAAATTCACTATATCAAGAGGATTTTTATATAAACTGTTCTTCACTATAACAAGAGGTTCACTATAATGAGAGTTCACTATAACGAGTGACTTGTAGTTAGCTGGTATTATTGCTTAATGCCGGTTGAGCTGAATTTTGGTTGCTCCACTAATCTATCCACTGATACCCAGCGACTCAGGACATTTTTATTACGTATTTTCTGAGGTGTATATATATAGTTACATGTAACAGGCGTTGTAATTAAGTAAATGAATAAAATTTTTTTTTTATAAATTTGATACAGTAGTTTAAAAGCTATATATCTATATATAACATTTTTACTTATTTTACTTAATTAAATTAAAAAATTTTATTAGTCAAAAAACAATGCCTTTTTTTTGTGAAATCTACTAAACATGGTTAAAATGTTTATAAATACCAGAGTTATAAGTAATCAAAATCAGCCATAATGTACACTGTACAATATAGATCTATAAATTTTATTCAAATGTTTTTTAAGAGCTATATATTGTTTTTTAAAATATATATATATATATACAGTACTCCTTTTTCTTGTAGAAACTAATCTACAATATAATGTTTTACCAGAAACATCAGTCAAATTCATAACCATTCACAGATAATAAATCCCTCCTCAAATCAAAAAGAGATCTCCTTTTACGAACTAGGGTTTTTTCAACTATCAAGCTATAGCGAAGAATTTACACATAAAGGAAATATATTAACAAAAAAAAAAAAAAAAAAGGAAAAAAAATGTAATCGTTTAACAAACATATGAAAATTTACATTGATTCATTTATTGAGAAGTATTTACGTCTCGATACTCCTTATCACATTCGCTCTATTCTTCACGTGGTTCAATTTTTAAATCAATTGGCTCATGTTTAACAATGTATTCGTTAGTAGCCGTGACAGGATCAATGTCCAAATTTGCAATATTATAGCTTCTTTTTAAAAGATCATTACTCTTCTCGAGTTCCAAAATATGACTTTTCAAGCTCAAAATTTCTTCGCTGAGTCGTTTAAATTCTTGAGTATCTTGAAAGTTTGTGGGCTGAGAATTTGTAAGCGAACACTTTTGGACCAAACTTCTGTTGGCATCTGCCAAATGATTGTTTTGAATGACAAGATTGTTTATTTGATCATTATCATCCTTAAGTTGTTTTTCATAACTAATCACCATTTGTGAAAGTCGTGAGATCTCGAGGTCTTTCGAAATTTTCAACGTTTCAATCTCTTTAAGAAGTTGAGTATTGTACGCGTTTGAGGAAACTAAATCTATCCTATTTTTGTATAATTCATTTGCGTACGTCTGGGAAATCGAAGAACGATCATTTTCTATCTCTTGGATTCTATTCCTTAAATATTCTATTTCTTGCTTCTGGCGCTTTATTTCATCTTTAGAACTGTTCCATTCATCCAATAAAAACTTAATTCGTTTATTGGATGCTAACAACAGTCGATCTTGTCGGCTCATATGTTCGGTGATAGCTCTTGACAACTCCATAGATTTATGATTCGTGACGCGACCATTACCAGGTCCAAGTGGTGTATGTTGGATATGTATGACATTTGGTGCCGACCTGGTTTTATCCTTGTTCTCAAACAAGCTACGTCCTGCATCCTTATTCTTGGGAGCACTAGTCCAAAAACTAATTTCATCATCATCATCACTAGTGGCTTTTCTTTTGACAGCGGAATGGGTGGCTACATTTGGTTGATCCATGTTAAAAAGTAAAGGAGAAGGATTACTGTCGTTAATTACCCCAAGATTTCGATGTCTTTCTATTGCTTTTTCTTCAAATTCGAAAAATTTGCATCGATTTTCTTGATTGCAGATATAATAAGGCTTTCCAGAATTTTTAGCTGAAGAACCTGCGATCTTTCTTACGGCAGGTTTCTGACAATCACATGTTAACTGAAAGTCTCTTCCTAAGTGATTTTCTGAAAATTCCATGGCTCTTATCTATGTTAACAGAAACATACATACGACTATATTAATGCATATAATGGTTTCTTGATTTTGGTGAAACTATTGAAAGAGTAAAACTTCACGTAAAGTACGTAACAAATAAGTTAGAAATTGTTACAACGCACATACATACGTACGTACCCACCTATCTTGGGAATTGAAAGAAGTTACATAGAAAGTGGTGCATGGCAAGAACTAGTATTTTAATCATCCGCGTGATCC